GTCCACGAATTGATACGGTGAGTAAATATTTTAAGTATCAATTTCACCCAAGCCAAGCATAGATAAATTTAGTTAATTCATTATACTTACAATACTATGGACATATGATTTATTATATATATTCAAATCATAATTAACAACCTTGTTAAGCTCCAATATCTAAAACTAGCAAATCCTCCAACATAGCATAGTTACTAAAACAACACTATATAATTAACTGCCATCCTCCAAACTATGCACCAATATGAATTCATACATACATATCAACATTAGGTATTCACTTCAGAACCTAATTATTATACTCCAATAATTTAAATAGCTAAAATATTTCATAGTATTTAAATTCTACATACAGTGCATAAACTGATACCTTTTAACAGCCCTTAAGTACCAAATTCATTCCAAACCATTCATAGTTGAACTTACAGATAATTCACTATGTTCATTACATGGTGGAAAATATGATTAAATATAATTAACTCATATACCAACAATTTGCTAAAATCTGGTAATTAAATTCCTTAACCAAACAGTGCAACATATGGACGTTACTTTGAGCTGTTAATTACTCCTTTCCTTAATCCATTATTGTATTAAAGGTTTTCAATATTTAATTAAGTCCCTAACATTTAATTACACCTTACCATATCATTCAAACAGCTTTAGAAAACACTGCACGGCCCAAACAGCCCCTAAAGCTCATTACTGTGCGATGCAAGAAAGAGCAGGCTCAACAAAAACATTGAGCCTGCTCCACTTTTGACTTAGAGCCGGCTCCTTCAACATTGAGCCGGCTCCAAGTCCCTAATAGAGCCGGCTCCATCATCTTTGAGCCGGCTCTAAGGTAATTTTAGAGCCTGCTCCTTCTCCTTTGCAACCGTTGCCCGTTCCAGCTTCGTCTTCTCCAACTCCGGTGATTACAGAGCCTCTGTGGTATGTTCTAATTCTTATTCTAGGTTCAATCTTAGTCCTAAATAAGTTTAAACCACTGAGATCCAATCCTAACATGTGTAGGAACACAAGTATTAAAGCAACAATTACAACACCTCTGTTAACCAATTTTAAGCAAGCTGCGACAGATTTAATTCAGATTAATTTGATGCAATTAAATACTGTTCTAAGCACCTATTCTAGAGTTCAAACTCAGTCCTAGATTAATTACTAGGCAACCATACGAATCATTGATCTCAATTAAACAAGAAAATAAACATGTTACAGGAGAAACCAACTAACAGAAACCTAAAGAATTTTGGTATAACAGTTCCATGCAACGAAGTTAATTATCAATTTAAACATGCATAATAGATTTTTTAAGCATTAGTTTAATCCCTAGAGTCTTCCTAAGCATGCACAGAACATGAATTAAAGAGAAAGAATAGAACAGAACTTGCCTACAATTTCAGAGTTTGAAACTGTAAACCACCGTCTCTGAGGTTTTCCGACCACCTTCTAAACTGTCGTTCCATGCCTCTGCTACTCTTGGTTAAACCCAGAAGCAACCTCGTTCCTTTCTCCTTGGACCTCTCTATTAAACTCTCAAGGTTTACTCTCTGTTTTTCCTAATATTCCTCTCTATTGCACTCTGTATTTTCTCTCTGTTTCTTAGGTACGTGAGAAGAACCTTGTGGATTCTCTAAAACCCTAAACCCACATAACTATATATTTATAGAACCAAAATCTTAAACTAATTTTAATTCATTTACAAACAGGAAAACAAAACCCTAACATTCATTCCCTAATATGTCAGCGACATCCGTGTAAAATAAAACCCTAAGTTACCATAAAGAAAATACAGTACATTAATTAAATAAAACAATTAAATCAGTATTAAAAATTAATCAAGTAATATATCATTAAAACAATATCAATTAACATGTAAATTAAATACACACAAATATTAATTAAATCAATTAAGCAATCACAATTAATCACTTAAGAAAACAAAACAACTAAGTCACATAACTAAATCAATTAATCAATAAAAAATTAAATTAAATTTCCAATTCTATCCTTTTGAAAACTAGGGGTATTACAACTGCTCCGCTCCAAAATTCAAAGATCCAGGAGCTTCAATAATTTCTAGCATAATAGGGAATCATTAGCTAGAGCGAGCTCTTCTAGATTTAGGTGCAAGTGTAAACCTTTTTCTTTATTCGGTTTACTTGCAACTTGGATTAGTGTTGGTCCTAAGGTTCTTTAAGCAGTGTTTGCCTATTTAATGTCAAAAACCTGTTTTTCAGTGGCTTTTAAGGGTTTACTCTTCTTCATGAGTGGTTGAAATATGATACAAGGGCAGTATGGACATCTCTTTACTAGTGTCATATTCTTCTCATTGGCCTCAGTGTGTCTATCTTAGTGTTATTACCTGTTTTAGCTGAATTTGCTGAATTAGTTAAGGTTCAGCTTTTGAAAAGTTACTATAAGTGTTCTCAGGGGCAACATTGTCTTTTCTCAGTTGTATTACATATATATGTGTATGTTCAGGTAGCTGCATTGCACTGTAGTGTCTTGATTGGACCTGCATTGTGAGGAATATAGTCTCAGGTCTGTCACAATGCTTAGAAGAGTTAAATATGTTTTGAGGGCATTATGGTCTTTTCCAGCTATGCTCAAGAATATGACATGTCTCAGTGGTCCTAGAGAGCTAGTATATGCAAGAATATTACATTTCTTAGAGGCTAAGTCTGGAGGAAAATGCAATTTATAGCCTTGCAATGTGTGTGTATGAATTCAGGTGTGCATAGTGACAAAATTGCTGAGGTGGCTTGTTGTGAATGGTCTTCTCATCTGAAAATATCTCTAATATGCTCTCTCAATCATTGGCTAGAGGTGACAGGTGTATATCCTTGGTATGTGAGGCCTTGTGTAATTCAGTGTCACTATAAATATGTTGTTATAGTGACTTTTAGGGTTTAAGCCTTATGAAAAGTTGAGAAAAGTGAGCTGCAACTAGTATTTTCTTGAGAGCTTTGAATGAACAAGTTTTTCTGAGTGTTTTGATGATGACTCATGCAAGAAAAACTCACTGAATCCTGTCCTGTTAGTGTATTGCTGAGAAGATGTTGCTGCTATCAGTTTTACTAGTGCAATGGCTGGTTTGAGTAGTGAAATCTTGTTTCAAGCAGCTATGGTCTATTCTGAAGGTTGACACAGGTATAATTCAACTATTTACATTTGCTCAGACTGTGTTTGTGTTAAAAATATGCTGAAAATGAATTTGGACAGTGTGATTACTAGTTAAGCTTGTTTTTCTGAATTAATCTTGGATTCAAGTGCTGTTTGATTATACTTAGCAATTTCATGATGATTTATGCTGCTAACAAGTATATTTTAGTGAATCAAGATTGTTAAAGTTGAGCTTGTGACAGAAATATGGTATGCTTTGATTTTGAGTATTCAAACCCTAAGGCTAAAGTTGCTTTGTGCTGAAACAAGGACTATGACTAAACTTTGTGATATACTCATGCTATGTTTGATTATGCAAAGCTATGAACATGAGTACAACAGTGAAAGAAGACTGTGTAAGGTGCTGGTGAAAGAAGACTGTGTAAGGTTTTGAGGCAGTATATTGGATTTCAAAGTTGTCCAGCTTATTCTTATTATTGTAAAGACCTTCTTGAATTAATCTACATCTGTAATGGTATGTGTGGTGAGCTATGAGAGCTTATTTGGTCCAAGCATGGTTGCTTAGGACAGGGGGAGTGCTTGTATGCACTGTGGTGTACTAGTGTGTGTATTGGTTGAGAAAACTAGTATCTATTCTTGTGCTTGGGTGTGTGTAGAGAGTGAGACAGATAAGTGTGTAACAAGATACATACAGCTAGTAGTGGATTGCTTATTGGTTGAGGCCAAGAACCAAGGTTTTCCCTAGTTAAGAGGGTTTCCTTGTAAACCTTGTGTTATTTGTTCTTTGAATGCTTGTTTAGTTGTTTTGAGAAAGTTTTATAAAGCAAAGGTTTAACCAATTCACCCCCCTCTTGGTTTAACAATTAGGATAATTGAAATCTATTTCAATTATTCTCCAATTGGCGGATAGGTCAACCAAGCAGCCTTGTGGGATCATCGAAGATGTGATCATCAAAGTAGATAAATTCTACTTCTTGGTGGATTTTATTGTGCTAGATACCGAGTTAGTTCCAGAGCCAAAGAGGCACATTCCAATGATCCTTTGTCGTCCTTTCCTTGTGACAAAAAATGCATGCATAAATTGTAGGATTGGCGTCATGGACTTATCTTTTGGCAATATGAAGGTTCGCTTAAATATTTTTCATGCCCTTCAGACAATAATGATTATTTTTTTGTCGATGCCATAGAAGAATGTGTTGAAGAGATGACTCCATTTGCTTTAACAAAAGATCCACCGGAAGCATGCCTATGTTACCCTGATGCCGAGACATTTGATGTTGAGAAAAGTATTGAAGATGTGAGTGTCATGCTTGATATAGCCAGTATGCACAACATTCCACCATGGAAGATTCCTATTGAGCCACTTCCATCATTGCCAAGTGAACCACCTACGCCATCTTTGGAGTTTCCACCAGAGCTAGAGCTGAAGCCGTTACCCTCTCATTTGAAGTATGCATATCTTGGGCCAGAAAACACTCTTCCATTGCATAATTCATTCTCAGATGAGCAGCTATTTCAACTTCAAAAGGAGACTCCACCATGGTATGCTGATATTATGAATTGGAAGACGTCAAGAAAGAAGACAATTCGGTCGGATCAGAAGTATTGGTTATTAGCTATCACAATTTTTAAAAATAATATTAGAATTTAGGTTCGAATTGCTAGTACTTCAATTCGAATACAACCCTAATTAAGTTTTGGATTTAGTTTTCTTCAATCCATTCCAACCAACCGTAATTGTAAAAAAAAAACATTGCCCAAGTGCATGCAAAATTGGGCTGGGCTTGGGTTTGCCCAACCTTTGCAACCCATTGCAGTATTTCACATATAAGCTTGGTAATGATTTTCTGGGCTTCTAGACTCTCATAGTTGGGTTATTTGCAAAATTCTAAAGTCAAACGGGAATCTCTTCTTCCTAAAAACTTCTGATACGCTTATGTTCCCTCTCTTTTCTGTCTCTGGCGTCTCTCTCTCTCGCTATACTTCACTTCGTCTGTTTCTCTCAAGTTTACACGCACAGACATGGCCATTGAATGTCTCGTTCTAGGTAATCAGACACGTAGTCTTACCCCCCCTCTATATATATAAAGGGGTGGGTTCTCTTGAGGTTATTTACACTAATATCTATTGGTTTGGCTGGGTCAGGTGCAGGGCAAGAAGTGGGGAAGAGCTGTGTGGTTGTGTCGATAAACGGGAAGAGGATCTTGTTCGATTGTGGGATGCATATGGGTTATCTCGATCATCGTCGATACCCTGATTTCTCTCTCATCTCTAAATCCGGGGACTTCGATAACGCTCTAACCTGTATCATCATCACCCATTTGTATATAAATCCCCTTTTTTTTCTCTCTCTACATGAGATTGTACATCTATATTTTTGTTATTGCTTTTTTAATTAATTAAACGTGAACTAATATGAGTACAAATGTGCAGTCATTTGGATCATATTGGGGCTCTTCCCTATTTTACTGAAGTTTGTGGGTATCGCGGGCCAATATACATGACGGTAATTTCTCTGTGTAGTATGCTAACTCAGTGTCACATCAACTGCTGATTTTACTTATTATTATTATTATTTTTTATTTTCTTAAGTTCGGAACTTGATTTTTAGAGCTATGCTTTTGATAGAATTTGTTGTCATTTTTTTGTGTTTTATATAAAACAATTCTTAAAAATTTAAATATACCCATATGACTCTGATTAGAAATTATTTGGATAAGCGTTTAGCATTAATAAATTATAGTTCAGACTTTCGATTTTATTAGGATGCAATTTTGTAATCTTATGTCCTTCTTACTTATAAATTATTTAATAGACAATTTGACCTTTCAAATTGGTAAAAGGATTTAAAAAACTTTGTAGATGAAGAGCCGGGCTCTAATAGTCAGATTAAGTGAAGGCCTAAACTAAACCTAGAGGGGGAGGTGAATAAGTTTTGAAATGCAATCACTACTTTAACAAAATTTTAAACTTAAACTAACTTTTACCAAATTTCGAATTTCAGTTAACATATTGAGCATGTAAAAATAGGCAAAGTGCAGATATATAAAGCATAAAACATTTACACACGAACGCCGATTTTTACATGGGAAACCACATAGGGGAAGAACCACGGGACCTAATTTAGATAGATCAAATCCACTATGTGAAGAAAGGTTACAAACCTAAGTTGCGAGAATCTTACCCAAGAATCCCCTAGTTACCAGGCTCATGCTAGACGTTCTTCTCAAAGTTTGCTGTTGTCAGTAAACTCATTTATTATGCTATTGGCTCTTCAATTCCTGTTTGGATCTACATGCTAGTCACGTCTAAGTCTTTGGTTGTTACGTGGAATTTGCTTGTGGTGTTGAAATCTTGTAGCTCTAGGATAATTGATGATCACCACTTAAAACACACTCACCATCTATATGTGTGGATTTTTTTTTGATAAGTAAAATTTCATTAAAGGCGCTCAAGAGGAATTTTTTGATAGTTTGAAATTATAGCGTTGCCATGGGGCGTCTTTTGTTCTTTGGAGCGCTCAAGAGGTGAGTGCTCCCAAGAACAAAAGACGCCCATGGCGACGCTATAATTACAAACTATCAAAAAATTCCAAACCCCATTAACCCAATAAAAAAGAGAAGACAGTATGTTAAGTTTGAGAGACCAAATAACGGATTCCTCGTTCTCGAAGGATCTCCTATTTCTCTCATGCCACAAAGCCCACCATAAAAAAAGGGAAGTGGCCCTCCAAGCATCTCTGATTTGGCTCTCCACTGCACACTCTTTTCAAGTCTCTAACATATCTACAGTGGATTGTAAAACAATCCAATGCACATCAAAAGCAACCAAGAACATAGATTATACATCCCTTGCCACAGGGCAATGCAGCAAAAGATGGTTCACAGATTCTCCCGACTTCTTACACATGCAACACCAATTCACTACTATTTGACTTCTCCTTCTGTGGTTGTCGAGAGTGAGGAGGCTACCAAGAGCAACAAACCAAGTGAAGAAAGCCACCTTTAAAGGGGCTCTAGTCCTCCAAATAGCTTTCCAAGGGAAGGTGGGACCTGGAGAGTCCTTGAGGTAAAAGGACCTAACCTCGAACACCCCACTTGAGGTACCCACCCACACCATCTCATCCATACCCACGCCCTCCACCACTTGGCTACAAATCAAACCAAGGAAGTCTATGACCTCCATGAGCTCCCAATCATGGAACTCTCTACGAAACTGCACATCCCAAGTCACCCTCCCATCATCAAGCCGATAATGGTCAGCAACCATAGCATGCTTGTTCACGGAAATTCTGAAAAGTCAAGGAAACCTATGAGCCAAAGCAAAGTCCCCACACCAATGATCCTCCCAAAAGCGGACATCTAAACCGGATACATTTGGAAAACTCATCCCATCCTTTCTGGATGAGTTTCCAAGAACCCATACCTGCTGGCGATCTCACCTCCCTAGACTGCCACCCTCTATTTCCTTCCCCATAGTGGCATGCAATGACACGCTTCCAAACAATATGATTGGATGATGAGTGAAATAAACAAAATCTCACAAATAGATTGGTAGAATGCACTCAAGTAAGCCTTACAGTTCTATATGATCTCTATCCATGTTTTGTATATGCTTTCATATGTTTTCCTGAAAACATAAGGTCTTTTCATATAGATCTTGGAGGTTGAAACAGATTAGGGTTATTAACAGAGTTAAAATCTTTCTGGAAACTTTTTTTTTTTTTTTGACAAGTAAGAATTCCTTTTCTTGTGGGGTTTGAGCAGTTGAAGTCTAGTTCTATTTGATAGTGGGCTTCAAGTGATCATTCAATTGATCGAATTCCCATGTTCTAGTTCCTCTAGGGTTTTTGAAATAGAAACAAAATTTCGCACTCCAGAATAATTTTTTTGAAGATTAAATCATGCAATACAATTTAATTATTGTAAATCCTTGGATTAGCTTGTAGAGTTTTTGGATTTGTTGAGGGTTTAGAGGCCCTATTTGGCCTTGTGCTGTTTTTTGAGGGATGCGTTCCCTTCTGAACGCTTTTATTGAATTTTTTACTTATCAAAAAAAAAAAAAAAAAAAAATTTAGCGAGTCCTCAATTTTGAGAGTTGAAGTTACTTTTGCGCCCTTGAAAAGCTTTTAGTTTATTAATTTTCCCTCGGTCAAAGGTAACTCAACTAACTTTTGAAATCATAAGCAAAAGCAAAATTAAAATATGCACTTAGTTTTGTACGAAATTAGACAACATAAGTCCCATTGACCTAACATTAAGTTGAATTTGAACGTTCAGATTGATCGTTGGCGAATCCATGTTTTGATGCATTGATTGAGTATAATTCTATTGCAGTATCCAACAAAAGCTTTGGGCCCATTGATGTTAGAAGATTATCGGAAAGTGATGGTTGATAGAAGGGGAGAGCAGGAACAATTCAGTTACCAGAATATTGTGGACTGTATGAAGAAAGGTATATGGACTTCCTTTCTTATTCAAGCTTCAACAACTGGAGTTGGATTTGATGAGTACTTTCTGTAGGAACTTCATTGTAAAAGAAGTGTATAGAATAAGTTGATTGGAAACCTCTTTGAGTATATAAAAGTTGGCTTCATTGATACACGCATGCATGTATAAATGTAGCAACCGTGCCGCTGCAACCGTGCCCTTTTAAGAGTTTTTCCATCCTTTTGTTTCTCTTTTAGTTCAACTATATTATTTTAATTTTGATATTATCATGGCAGTTACGGCTGTGGATCTAAAGCAGACTGTGCAGGTTGATAAGGACCTTCAGATCCGTGCCTATTATGCAGGGCATGTAAGGTTTCTGAACTTCATCTCTTCAGCAGATGCTATGTGCACATCCAAATTTGATGATGATGGTCCTTATTTTTATTATTTCTTTTACACCTGTTTATATAGTTGATTCACATTTGTCATTTGCTAATATTTTCTGTGTTCTCGAAATTTTTCTCTTTGTCACCAAGTATAACCTTTTTCTGAGTCATGCCTCCTAGTTCCATAGTTGTTGCGAACTTCTAACTCATGAATCTTTCAACCAGAAGCTGTGTTTTTCAATTGTTTATCACATTTATTGATTAGCATCTGTTTCATTTTCTATACCTTTGAATATAATAAATCAAAATGCTTGCTAGTTAGCAACAAACTTTGGCGATCTTCTAGCTCAAAATCTCAAAAAACTTGAGATCACAATTAAATTCATGTGTGTGAAAGTAACATCTTGAGTGCTGTCCATTTGTTCCACGAAATACTTGGGTTCTTTTGGATTGGTATTGGCTTGAGTTTTTCGTCCGATAAAGCTTGGGTTAGATGATCAGCAGACCTTGAGTCGAGTAATCTTGCTGAAACAATATATCAGTACGGACAGATTGTGCTATTGTAAAAAAAGTTCGTTCGATTGAAATAATTCTGCTTTCAAAATAATTGACATTAAATGATGCTTAACTTTTAAACATTTAGGCTAGTTTTTCGTCCAATAAAGCATTGATTAGGGGTGCACCGTGATGGTAGGCCCCTCGTGGGCTGGATGTCATTATTGATGATGTCATAGATGGGTTGGTAGGCCCTGCTAGTATTGCTCGGAGAAGAAAAATTCTGTTCTGTATTGCAAAATTGTATATTACAAAAGAGTACAATAGAATATATATTATAAGCCCTAAACTAATATACTGAGAAAATGACAATACTACCCTCAATAATAAAATAATCCTACTTGTAAAAATGGAGATTTGTATAGAAAGAGAATAGAGATAGAGAGAGAGAGAGAGAGCGAGAGAGCTCAGACAGAGAGTATGAGGCGCAGCTCACACTTTACATATTTTCTTCTAACCCTAAAACATAAAGGGGGTTATATACAATACAAGAAAGGCCAATTTACATAATGGCCACAAACCCTATATCTAATTACAATAGGACCCCAGCATAAATACATATATACATAGAAGTGTTTTAACACTCCCCCTCAAGCTAGAGAATATATATCATATAATCCCAGCTTGGAACAAATTGTTTTTAACCTATTATGACCAAGAGCCTTAGTAAACATATTAACTAATTAATCTTCAGACTTCACGAATGGAGTAGAAATGTTTCCACTCAATATTTTCTCTCGAGTGAAGTGACAATCAACTTCAATGTGCTTGGTTCTTTCATGAAACACTGGATTGGATGCGATGTGAATTGTTGCTTGGTTATCACAGAACAGTGGAATTGGAGTCTTGACTATTAACCCAAGTTCTTCAAGAAAATGTTGTATCCATGTTAACTCACTAGAGGTATGGGCCATCAACCTGTACTCTGCTTCAGCGCTAGACCGTGCGACAACTGTTTGCTTTTTACTTTTCCATGTAACAAGATTTCCACCAACAAATGTACAATAGCCTGTAGTCGATTTCCCATCTGAGGGAGAACCAGCCCAGTCAACATCTGTGAAACCTGTCACATTGAGATGACCATTAGGTTTATATAGGAATCCAAAACCTGGAGCTTGTTTGAGATATCGAATAATTCGAAGAATAGCATTCCAATGTGGTACTCTAGGAGCACTCATGAACTGACTTACAACACTAATTGCATATGAAATGTCAGGTCGGGTGACAGTGAGATAAATTAATTTCCCAACTAGACGTCGATATCTGCTATGATCGTCAAATAAATCACCCTAATTAGGTAATAATTTTATATTTGGGTCCATAGGAGCATTAGTAGGGCGAGTACCTAACATACCTGTTTCTTTTAACAAGTCCAACACATATTTCCTTTGAGATAGACTTATACTTTCCTTGAATCTAGCAACCTCAATACCCAAGAAATATTTGAGTTTGCCTAGATCTTAAATCGGGTCGAACAGGCCGGACCTTAAATCGGGTCGAACAGTAAATCGGGTCGGAACAAATCCAGTTTATGTTAACTTGGATTGGGATAGTGAGCCCTGTAGCCAAACATCGTTCTTCTTTGCAAAATCTCAGTTCTCCAGCAAGCACGCAGCGCCAGCGATGGAATCAACAAGCAGCGACACAACTTGCGACAGCCACCGGTGACCAAGAAACGAGCAGCGACGACGAGTGAAGGCGGCGAGCTCATCGACAACCAAAACGGCAACAACACGAGCAACCAAACTGGGCTTCAACGAGAGAAGGCGGCGAGCTCGTCGACAACCAAAACGGCAACAACTTCACCACCGTCACGAGCTCTGAACAGATCTATATAAGAACGATACAACTGCAATTTCCCACACTCACAATTTCGATCAGCTTTGATACCATGTAAAAATGGAGATTTGTATAGAAAGAGAATAGAGATATAGAGAGAGAAAGCGAGAGAGCTCAGACAGAGAGTATGAGGCGCAGCTCACACTCTACATATTTTCTTCTAACCCTAAAACATAAAGGGGGTTATATACAGTACATGAAAGGCCTATTTACATAATGGCAACAAACCCTATATCTAATTACAACAGGACCCCAACATAAATACATATATACATGTAAGTGTTTTTACACTACTCTAACACCCTCCCTCAAACTCACGATGTGACAGTGAGAAGCATCGAAAACGTAAAATTGTGTGGGACTTTGTGAAGAAGTCAGCCAACTGCATAGAAGACAAATGGTAGAGAAATAGTGCCAAACTGAAGGTGTTGGCGCCCGAAATGACAATCAATCTTGTTGTGCTTGGTGCATTCACGAAAAGACAGAATTGTGTGCAATACTGCAATCTGAATAGCACTCTTGTTATCATAGTACATAGAAGTTGGAGCAGCTAAAGAAATACCCAAATCAGCAAGCAACCACCATAGCTAAACTATCTCCGCTGTTGTTGCAGCCATGGCACGATACTCAGCTTCAGCAGAAGAATGAGCAACAATTTGCTTCTTGCTTTTCCAGGAAATTAGAGAATCACCTTGGTTGTAGACTTACGATCGGTGGGATCCCCAGCCCAGTTAGCATCAGAAAAAGCTTGACGCATGTAGAAGAAAACAACAGACTTTGGTGCAAAGTATCCTGAAGGTAACACAAGATACGAAGAACTGCTGCCCAGTGAACGGTAATAGGAGATGATACAAAGACAATATGAACATCATACGTAAGATCAGGTCGAGTGACGGTGAGATATACTAAATTGCCAAATACAGTTCGATATAAAGTAGGATCAGCCAAAGGGACACCATCAGTAAGAGTATAGCGAGCATTAAGCTCGAGGGGAGTCCGAACCGTCCGAATATCGGTGAGATGAGCTCTTGGAATAACATCTGCTGCATACTTAGACAGAGAGAGAAGATAACCTTTTGGAGAATAAGATACTTCAAAACCAAGAAAATAACACAGAGGGCCAAGATCCTTCATGTCAAACTGTTGCTGCAATTGAGATTTCAAGTGAGCAATGCCTACTGTGTCATCACCAGTCAAAATCATGTCATCAACGTACAAAAGAAGAATAGTACAACTTATCAAAAAAAAAAAAAAAGAAAAAAAGAAGAAGAAGAATAGTACAAAAGAAGAATAATACGGCCAACAGAAGTGGAGCGAAGAAAAAGAGCAGAATCATGATCTCTAGAACGAAAACCCAAAGCACAGATCATCACTTCTCAAACCAAGTTCTAGGAGCTTGTTTGAGACCATACAATGTCTTTCTAAGTCCGCACACCTCATCAGGACTATGAGAAAGACCAGGAGGAGGAGTCATAAACTTCTTCATTCAAGTCCCCATTCAGAAGGGCATTTTTGACATCCAGTTGTGACAAATCCCACTGGTGAACAACAGCAATAGCAATTAATGTGCGAACCATCGTCATTTTGGCTACAGGATCAAAAGTCTCTCATAGTCAATACCGTATTCTTGTGTAAATCCTCTTGCAACCAGACGTGCTTTATATCGCTCAATAGAACCGTTAGACTCTGTCTTGATTTTATAGACCCACCTTCATCCAATTGCACATTTATCAAAGGGTAACAACACCAAGTCCCATGTGCCAGTTTTATGCAAAGCAAAGAGCTCTTCATTCATTGCCTGTTGCCAAAGAGGATCAAGAACAGCCTCCTTATAGGAGGCGGGCTCAGAAAGAGAATGAATAGATGCCAAAAAAAAAAAAAAATGAAGAAAAAAATACAAAAAGCAGAATAACAAGAATTAGAAAAACCAAAACTATCAGGACACTCGCGAATGCGCTGAGGATAGCGAGGAGGGACATGATCCACGTCATCAGAAACTAACTGAGAAGAGAGATGGAGGAGATGTACCTGCAGAAGAAACTGCTTTATTCCTGCGAGTGTGAGTGTGAATAATAGGGGGAACAACATAAGAAGATGCTGGTGCAGAAGAAAAACATTAGAGAGAGGTATATCATCAATAGAAGACGTACTGAAAACGTCATCAGGAAAGGGATCAATGTACAGGAGATCAGACTGACTCAAATTAGTGAGCCTGAGGGAATAGAAAAGAAAGGAATATGCTCAAGAAACTCCACATGACGAGACACATACAACTTGTGAGCAACAGGATCATATCATCGATACCCCTTTTGGCCTTCACCATAACCAAGAAATACACACATAGCAGAATGTGCAGATAATTTAGTGCGAGCTGCTCTAAGGAGAAGAACGAGCAAGGAAAATTAATCTGGGGGCTTACCATATAATCATTCAAAAGGTGAAAGACCAGAGGTAACAATAGTTGGTATTCTATTTACTATGAGAACAGCCTCCCCCCAAAAGCCAGATAAAAGAAGAGAACGAGTAGTCTCCATGATGTGCCGATTCTTTCGCTCAGCAACACCATTTTGCTCAGGAGTTTCTACATAGGAAGATTGCCTAACAGTGCCATCAGATTTCAACAAATCAAGAAAAGAACTATAATTATACTCCCCACCTAGATCACATCTAAAGCGTTTGATAATAGATGAAAATTGAGTGGGGATCATAGAACGAAAAGCATTAAAGATAGAGAAGAATTCAGAACAACGTTTCATTAGATAAATCCAACAATATCGACTATAATCATCAATAAAATAGATAATATCTGGACCCTCCTTTAGTAGAAATAGGGGTAGGTCCCCACACATCAGAATGAACTAAATCGAAAGGTGCCATAGAAATAGTAGAACTCTTATGAAAGGGCAAAGCAGATAAATTTGCAAGTTTGCTTGCAACCACTACAATTAGATATATCATGACTATGAAAATTCCCCAAAACACCAGTGGAGTCTAAATACCGAAAATGGGAACTAGAAACATGTCCAAGACGAGAATGCCATAAGTAAAAATTAAAGAACTTAGGACTCAAACAAAAAGAAGATATGTCAACTGAAGAAGCTGCAAAGCCTGCAATTGCTGGAACGTGAAGCTCCCCTAACACATACAATCCTCCCTCTCTACGGCCTGTCCCAATCGACTTCTTAGAACGAGAATCCTGCACAACTCAACCAGTTGAAGATAAATAAACATAAAACCCAGAATCAAACAACTGACTAACAGAAATTAAATTCAAAGTAAGTTGAGGAATACAATAGACATCGGGAAGAGACAAATGAGGAGAGAGAACAGTCCCAACTCCAGCTAATGACATAGGAGTGCCATTGGCAGCAAAAATTGAAACAGCCGAAGGAGTAGAGAAAATAGATGTGAACAAAGAAAAATCACTAGTCATATGGTGCATAGCACCAGAGTCAAACACCCAAGTGGTCCGAGATATACCTGAAGAAGCTGAAGAGGACAAACTTGCAGAGGAATTGAGTGAAGAAGCTTGAAGAGAATGTATATTACCAGTAGCCATCGTAAAATAAATCAATCAAGTAACTGCAACGGCAATGGTATATCAATTATTCAACCAGTATCTTGTCAAGTCAACCAAATTTGTTTTTTTTTTTCTTTTTTTCTTTTCTGGATCAACTCAACCAATTAATGTATTACAGAATGCAATTCTGGAAAAATGCTGATTCAATGAGAGCAACCAAAACAACAACAGTATTGTTTGCGAAAAGTCAGAGATATTGTCTACTGGCTAAAAAAGAAACAAACCGATGTTCAGAAGGTTACTCTTAATGATGTTATTGCTTAGAGTTGAGTTTGGTTTTTTGTTTTTGTACTGGAAATGGGCTTTTTTCATTAGGCCTTGTTTTTAGTATTGTTTTTGTTTTCCTTTTCTGAGGGTATGCCCTCTGTGCTCCTGTATTCATGTTGATTTTTTGAGCTCAAATACAACACCAATTATGAAAAAAAACGAGAGAGATGAAAGTCTTTTGGCTGTATTACTGTTGTGATGCACTGGTTGCTGTCCCTGTACGATTGTTCCAATTGATTCTGATCAGGGTTCACTGATTGCTGCAATGACGAACATAATTACAATAAATCGGTGTTGCAATGCAATTGCTGCAAGCAGTGAAACCAATATGGTTGCTGGTTGCTGTTTCAATGATGCGATTGAAGTCAAAAGGCAGTTAGGGTTTGTGGTTTATTCAATGTTGCAATTGGTGAACAAATTGCAAACTGATTTGCGATGAGTTGGGAACTGATTGTGACCAAGTTGCGAACTGACTGCGAACGCCAAGATGCCGAACACTGTTGTGATTGTAATTGAGATACAGACGATGCTATTGAACCTTCAACAAGTATTATTTGATACCCACAATGCGATTGCGAACAGAGGACGAGAACTGCAATTTGGGTTGCGTTGAACTAATGGGATGATGTGAACAGAAACCACAACTATGAGGTGCGAACATAGTAGATGTGATGCGATTCTAAGTCGAGGTTGTGAACAATAGATGTTGCGATTAAGGGCAAAACTGTGATTGCGATGGTGTAGAAAAATAGTGACTGCAATGGCGTAGACGAATAGTGATTGCAGTCGTGATTGTGATGTGTTTTAGTGGCAAGATCAACACCGCTCTTATGAGGCTTGGTGGGCGGGACCAGGCCTGTGAGAGGCAAGGCTTTGGTGCGAGCTACGTGTGCTCACAATTCCCATATCGCCTGGGTGTGGAAGAGTGAAGTGTTATATGTAGGTTCAACACCTTATATGACACAACGCGTTTTAATGCCATGATGGTCGTGAACCCATCAGAACTTCAAAGTTAAGTGTGCTTACTCGGGAGTAGTACCAGGATGGGTGATCTCCTTGGAAGTCTCTGGTCCGGGAGAGTCAAAAGCGGACAATATTGTCTCTAGTGGAGTGAGGGCCATTACAGCTCTGATACCATGTTAATATTGCTCGGAGAAGAAAAAGTCTTTCTGCATTGCAAAATTGTACTCTATTACAAAAGAGTGCAATAGAATATATTATAAGCCCTAAACTAATAAACTGAGAAAAGGACAATACCACCCTCAATAATAAAATAAATCCTACTCTAACAGGGCCAGTGCCACGTGGTAGTGGTCAGACTTAGGGTTGATCGACTAGGCACCTACAACTAGTACAAGTACCGAAGATGCATCCCACTATTAAGCTGTGTTGTTGAGTTTGTAAATGATGGTTCTCTGGCACAAGTAGAGTGGAATAGAAAAATAGGATTCGTGTAGCCAACCCCAAGTAGTTGGGAAAAGGTTTTGGTGGTTGTTGGTTCTCTGGCACAAGTGCTCGTTTATTTAGTGGAATTTTTTTTGGACAAAATGGAAGGCCTGCTAAGAAATTTTTTTCCAGCAATTTCTGTAGCAGTGCTATTTTGTGGTGATTCTAAGGAGGAGAATTGTTATTTGCCTGAGTGGTATGTCCTGTCCACCAGACAAGAGAGTTGCAGAGTTCGGGTCCAATTTGAACAAGGGTTTTTGTGTGGTGATGCTCGTAAAAAATATCATATTTATTTGCATACTGAAGAGATTTCCCCTTAAGAAACATTGCCATCATTTTGATTTTTTTTTTTTTTTTTTTTTGGGGCATGCAATACTTATGCCAATAAATAGTGAGGTATATGTAACCAACATTCTGTTTTAATATGAAAGGTGAGCTGTAAACTTATGTGATACGTTTAAGCAATGGGGTTTTGTTACATATTATTGCAAACTTGTATTAGTGTAATATCAAGATGCTCTTTCATCAGAATTTACGCTATATCTTTTTATTTCTTTATTTCTTTATTAATTTATTTTTCTCGCTTCTTGGTATTTTGTGTGAGTTGTTTGGGGTGATGTAGCTGGATCTTCAACCTGATGTTGAGATGCTGTTTTCTGTTCTCCTAGTGGTCATTATAAGTCGCTTCTAAGTAATTTCATCAATCATTATTGAGAATGCAACTTGTGTTTCATTAGTGTATCACAGGTAGAAGCTGTACATTTAATTTTAATTGTATTTTGAAGGTTCTTGGAGCTGCAATGTTTTATGCCAAGGTGGGAGATACTGCTATGGTTTACACTGGGGATTATAATATGACTCCGGATAGACATCTTGGGGCAGCTCAAATCGACCGACTACAATTGGATCTCCTTATCACAGAGTAAGGAATATATGTGTGTGTGTGTGTGTGTGTGTGTGTGTGGGTGCTAGCGCGCGCATGTAAAGAACTTTGATACCATAAATTAGCTTGTGAAGGTTTTTATGGTTATGGCGCATGCCGAACCATATTGGGTGCTTCGTAAAAGAATGGAGCAAAATGTATTTTGATACTTGAAATGTTTTCCTGTAATTCTTGTCCTTTTTAGATTTTTTATGTCTTTTAGTTGGATATATACCATAAATTAGCTTGTAAAGGTTTTATGGTTATGGCGCATGCCGAACCATATTAGGTGCTTGTAAAAGAATGGAGCAAAATGTATTTTGATACTTGAAATGTTTTCCTGTAATTCTTGTCCTTTTAGATGTTTTATTTCTTTTAGTTGGATCTAGATCCTAATATTTTTGCTTACAATCTGATTTTAATATATAATTTTTTCTTACCTTTTTTTGATCATCTGTTTTCCATATCTGTTCCATCTTCCCTCCTTCATGTGCCTTCCCTCTTCTATTTAGTGCCTGTTTGGGATTGCGGTTAGAATGATGAAAGCGCTTTTAATAGTAGAGATGTCATTAAACTGTTGTGAGTAAAAAACATGTTATGTGTTTGGTGATGTATTGTATAAAGTACTTTTTATACTCAAAACACTTTAAAACTTGTTTGGTGACAATGTTGCTTGAAACACTTTTACCATTGAATTTACTAATAGTATCCCTATCCCCTATTTATATTTTTTGGTTCCATATAATATAAATTATTGCTTCACAAAGGAAAAAATAGTACATCATCACTCATGTTATGAAATTCCAATGGTACAAGATTCAAGATCGATGTTTAGTTTTACTAATTATAACTTAATTTTTTCATGAATATACTAACTACAGCTTTGTGTGACTTTAATTTTAAATAAAAGTTAAAATAAGAGTGAAATTAAAAAAAAAAAAAAAAATCAATTGTCAATGGACTGATAAATGAAAATAAATTGGATGATCATAAAACTGAACTGAACTTCTAATAAACTAAACTCTTAGTATAGTTTAGATTTCTAATATAGTTGGAAGTCAAATAAAATTTGTTCTAAGTTTCTTAAAAGGGAAGGGCCATATAATGACAACAATATATGTGGTGCAGATCGGTGGCGAGTCCCAAACAACAAATTTCGTTCATATATTCTCTTTTTATTAGGGACAAAATTGTATTTATAAAAAATAGGGAGGGATTAAATTATCTCATAAGAATATAGTTTGCCTTAAAAAATCTACCTTTGCCTAAACGTAATTCTAAAAGCTACGTTTCTAACTTCACGTGAACGTGCTTTTTTGATAAAATCTCTACAACATAAACGCGCTTATTTTTGTCACCAAACACATCTGCAATTTTTTAAAATTAAAGCGCTTTTTAATGGTATTTAAGCAATCCCAAACGGGCTCTTATTGTTTCTCTTCTATCTTATTTCTCTTTGAGAGTGCACTTGCGAAAGCCCAAGTAAGATAAGAAATTGAAGATGATAGATTGCAGACAGAGGATCTCGGTCTTATGAGCAGACTTATGAGGAGGGTAGAGGATCTCGGTCTTATCAAGGGCTTTAGGGTGGGCAGAGATCTAGCTCATCAGATGGAGATCTCTCATTTACTATTCGTGGATGATACCTTGGTCTTTTGTGATGCTGACATGTCTCAACTTAGATGTTTAAGGTGCATTCTGGTTTGTTTGCAGGCGTGCTTGTCCTGGTTGGGGATGTTCAGGATATTTCCTCCTTAGCCGCGGTTCTTGGGTGTGGGGTGAGCTCTTTCCCTATCCCTTATTTGGGTTTGCCTTTGGGGGTCTCCTCTAGGAGGGTGGGGAGTTACTCTCATAAAGAGCACTCTATCTAGCCTTCCTACTTATTTCTTATCTGTGTTCCAAATCCCATGCTTTGTTACCGAAAGGATTGAAAAGATCCAAAGGGATTTCCTTTGGGACGGAAGGGTCTAGGTATCCGGAGGTTGGTTCCCTTTAATCAAGCTCTCTTGGGCAAATAGTTATGGAGATTTGGCAGGGAAAGGCATCGCCCTTGGAGAAGGATTGTTTCATGTCGTTTTTGGGAGGAGAGTAGCGGCTGGTCTACTCGTCCAGTCTCTATTGCGGGAGGAGTTGGTGTGTGGAAATTCATTCGGAAGGGCTAGGATGTCTGCTCTTCCTATATCAGATTCAAAGTTCATGATGGTAGATGTGTTCGATTTTGGGAGGATTTATGGTGTGGTGACCAGCTGTTATCTTGCACCTTTCCCAGATTGTATAGTATTGCCGCCGATAAGCATGCGGCTTGATAGCAGTGAGATTACGTGGGACGTGCGTTTTAAGCGTTCTTTTCAGGATTGGGAGATGGACGAGGTGTGTGTTCTTCTGGATATGTTGTATCAGCGGGAGGTAGTTGGCAGAGGTAATGATTATCTTTTGTTGGTCCCCTCTACCCATGGTAGATTCGATGTCCGGTCTGTGTTTCTATGCCTCGTCAACTTTGTTGGCCTTGATTTTCCATGGAAGACCATATGACGCTTTAAGGCTCCACTTAGAGTGGCATTCTTTGTATGGACTGATGTATGGGGCAAGATTTTGAAGCTCGACAACTTGAGGAAGAGAGGCAACAATATTGTTAATTGGTGCTGCCTTTGCAAACGAGATGGTGAGTCTGTGGATCATATCCTCCTGCATTGCCCCGTGGTGTACGACTGTTGGAACCTTATATTTGGCTTATTTGGTATGCTTTGGGTAATGCCTCGATCTTCTAAGGGTTTGATTAATGCGTAGAGGGGATGCTGCGTGAGAAGCAGTGTACGTGACTATTGGAGGACAGTTCCACATTGCGTTTGGTAGTGCATTTGGAAGGAGAGGAATAGCAGAAGGGAAGGAGTCGTCTATGGCGACGCTGAAACTTCATATTATTCGCTCAATCTTTAGTTACGTGAAGAGGAGTTCTTGCTCCTCTTCTGATCTTAGTTAATCTATTGGACTGTTTGGGTCCTTAGACCCCGGTTCCGCCTTTGTATAAGGGACGCATTCCCCTTTTGAACGTTTTTTTTTTAATCGATTATTACTTATCAAGAAAAAAAAAAAAGATTGCAGACAGAGAATGGGTAAGTCATTAGGTCCTTTATTCTGATTTGGTGATCATTCAATTTCTGATATGAGTTGTTAATTTTAATTACTTTAAAAATAAACAATCAACAAAATAATTAGTGTTGAAGGATTTAAATATTTAAGTTACACCCTGTCTATTAGTTTAAGCTTTTAGAGTAGATGGTAGTTAACATGGTATTAGAGCCAAAGGTCTCAGTTCAAACCTCAATATCACCCTAATTAAAAATTAAAAAAACACGTGTTGGACCAAAAGAAGGCCACATGTGGGGGAATGTTGAAGGATTTAAATATTTAAGTGACACCCTCTCTAATAGCTTAAGCTTTTAGAGTAGATGGTAGTTTACAATTAGAAAAGTAAACAAGCAACCACAAAGTTTTATAGAGATGCACAATTTTTATGTTGAAACACAACCTTGAAAAGTCATGGATCTCATTCTCTTCTCGATGCTAGCCACTCCACTATAAACAAAAGAAGTACAATTTTGCCTCTAGTATTAGAACTTTACTCAATGAATCACCAATATTTGAAATACCAACAAACAAAAACTTGCTGGGAACCAATGGACAAAAACTTGCTAAGGCATTACTGCTGCTTTTTGTAGATTTTGTGGTCTTTGCCTTCATCTAAGTAGTGTTCATTCCAATTCCATCGAAAAAGGTAGTGCATTAGAACCCTTTGAAATTTGTACCATTATAAAAGGGGAAGTAGTGCATTATCTAATGGCGCCAAATAAATTTATTAGTTACCCAGGTTTATGTTATATATATATCTGAATATCTCTCTTTAATAATTGTTTAGATGTGAAGTAACTATGTTTCTTGATCTTTCATTTGCGGTTTTGCTATACTGATTACGTATGCAAAAATTCAAATATTTTTTTACTGTGTTCTAACCATTACATTTAATTACTGAAAAATTCCATCTTTATTATGCATTTGAGTGTCCTCCAAATTGATAAGTCAGATTTAGATGAGGGAAATTTTTTGTACTTTCAGTGTCAGGAATGATGGTCTTCCCTAAAATTTCTCCTCACAGGTCAACATATGCAACAACTGTACGTGATTCAAAATATGCTCGCGAGAGAGAATTTCTTAAAGCTGTATGTAAACTGCGCTCTTTCAAATTGACAGTTGAATGTCTTTTGATTAGCTTTTTGCTATTTTACTTTTTGTCATTATGTTTTTATATATATATTATTCATCATTATAAACCTGGCTATATTTTAACATTCTTGGGTTGAACTGTTACTGTTAGTACTTCATTTATGTATTCTGTTGAGTGTTTTATCAATATTTCAGTGGGAAATAGTTGATGAAAGTTGCAGGAGGCTGCTTTTAGTGGTTCAGATAATTTCTTCTTGTTAGAGAATATTTTTATAGGAATAATTAAAGCCCTTAAATCACTCCTTGACAGATTGATATGAGTGAATGATGAGAGTGATTTTAGGAATGTTTCCTATATCATATTTATCACATGTTTGTATTCTTTCACCTATAAATAGATGTGCTCCTTGCAAACAAAAATTAAGAGAGAATGTAATGAAAGATATGTAGCCCTTTGGGCTATGTGTGTCGTGGTTGTAAGACCTAGTGGCTGAACGACGTCATATTCTTGGGTTCTTCGTGTTTAATTTCTCTCTTCAACTTTGATGAACTGAGAGGAGGGGGGGTTGAATTGGTTCTTTTACAAAAATCCTTTCTACACTTAGAATTATTTCAATACAATATGCGAACACATTCAACCACAAGTGCTAAGTGATTTTTATAAGGAAAATCTCTCTCAACTAGAGATCAAAAACCTTGGTTCTTGGCCACAACCAATGTAAACTCCACTATTTGTAATGCAAGTAGATACACGCTCAGCTGTCTCTCACTCTACACACACCCTAGCTCATAATAATGCACACAAGCACTCCCCCTGTCCTAAGCAACCCTGCTTGGACCCTTTGAGCTCTCACAGCTCACCAAATACATATAAAAAGATGTATATCAACAATACTCAAGCTATTACATAAGATAAGAATAACAGCTTAGAGTATCAAACAACAACTTAAGACCTTCATTATGCTGAAACTGTGACAGAAGGAAATTTGGAATTTCATATTGTTACAGACCTGAAAATGGCACCCTCAACCTTATACCAACATTATACACCTGTTCAGATGATATTTTTAATGATGCAAGCAAGGTATATCAAAGTCTCAGTTCAATAGGGCTAATACTACAGAAAACCTTAAAACTAGGGTTTCAAAGGCGAAAACACCAAATGACCATTTCTCTGTGTAAATATCAACTTGTATAGCCTAGAATCAACTATAGAAACTTACTCAAATGATAAGAGTTCAACTCACAGCAAGATACATGCATATATACTTATGACAGAAGGCTAAACCAGAAAAAACTAGTAATAGGGGTGCACACGGTTCGGTTCCTTGTGGTTCCAATCGGAACCGGAACCGTTCATAACGGTTCCTTAAAAATGGAATCGGAACCAGAACCGGAACCGAACCTATGGTTCCTACGGTTCCGGTTCGGTTCCTCAGTTCTCACTAATTGTTTGCTCTTTTTTTCCTATTGAAGGCTTTGAGCCTTTGAGTGTATGTGTGTGTCTATATATGCAGGGAAAAACAATAACACAGAGAGTAGATCTGCAAATTGAACACCCAACAGAAAATATATTGTTCCAATTAACGATTGAACATTCACAACGAACAAAAAAATAAAAAAGAAAGAAATTGTAGATAGCCGCGATGAGATGATTTGAAGATGGTGTGTGGGCGTCGACAATGGCAATGAGAAGTCTGAGATGGTGTGTGGGCGTCGGCGATAGCTGCGATGAGAAGATCTGAAGATGAGAGGATGAGGATTGAGGAGTGAGGACTGAATCGATTGAGGACTTGAGGAGGATTGAAGAATGAAGTTGAGACTCAAGGAGTCGGCGAGGCGAGGCGACGAACAGAGAGGAGTCGAGGACTAATGAGGCGAGTCGAGGACTGATGAGGCGAGGCGAGGCGGCCACTTCAATGAAATTTCAGAACAGAATGAGAGTTGAGATGAGACTTGAGAGCATTGAGATTTGAGAGGTTAGGTTTAGAATTTAGATGTGAGATTTGAGAGGTTGTGGACCACTACCACGTGTTGTAATAATTCTAATTGACTACTCTGTCAACACAAACCCATCATGTAACTATGTTATGTATTATTATACTGGAATATATATAATTAAATATATAATCATATATATGCACGGTTCCGGTTCCTAACGGTTCCCACGGGTCTGGAACCGGAACCATAACCCACGGTTCCAGAATTTTGGAACTGGAACCGTGAGAACCGGAATCGAAGCCCACGGTTCGGTTCGGTTCTCACGGTTCCACGGTTCTTTTGTGCACCCCTAACTAGTAATAGATGGAGGTTTGAGACATCAAACTCAACTACAACAATAATATGAACAAGACCCCAAGTTTTGCAGTTGTAAAATGGTGAAACAAACTTGCCTCAACCTTTGGAAACCTTTGAACTTGACTCAAGCATGGATTGAACCTCTCGACCAAGCCTCTGTAGCAGAAAACCCTCGATACACAGTCTTGAACTTCATCTTCAATTGCACACTCACACTATATGGATTACTGAGTTAAAATGGATTACAAATTAGTCTCAAAACTCAATTAAAGGTCATTGTTCTTGGTGTCTTGAGTGTATGTCAATATTGCTCGCTTGGATGCTCACAAGGCTGCTCAACAATGCTTAGGAGGCTTAAGGGCTATAGCAGGATATATATATAGGGTCCATTGATCTGTAATCCTACCCTAAAGAGGAAATCCACATGGCATCATTCTCCAATCATTGGCCAAAGAATGTCCTGATACTCCTTGAGTAAATGACCACATTGTCCTTGCCACCTTGCACATTTGTCCTTTATTGAACTTGCTTTTTGCCAGCTTACATATTGATGATGTGAGTAATCTGTTGGGGATTTCCTTTGAGCCAAACAAGAAGCAGGCTTGTATGGTTCTGCATTCAAATACTGAGGGGAAGATTGGGGAGGAGAGGGGTAGCAGGAAACGGACAGTGAGTAAGGAGAAGAGGCTGACTCCTTGGAGAGGGTATAGGGAGATTCGTGGCTTGTTCTCTGGTGTGAATTATGAGGGGACTAATGGGTGTTGGAGGGAGAGGAGTGAGGAGAGGGGTAGAGGGAGAAGGAAAAGGGATGTGGTATACGTCTGTTCTTGTTGAAGTGCAGAATTATTTCGTGGAATGTTCGAGGACTCAATAACCCGGACAAAAGAGAAGTGGTGAAGATGGTTGTGAAGAAGTGTGGTGCACATGTGGTTTGCTTGTAGGAGACAAAGATGGTTGCCATGTCTGATAGGGTGGTTAGGAGTTTTTTTTTTTGGGGGGGGGGGGGAGGAGTTTATTGAATGGTGGCCTTGGATGCTTTCGGGACGTCGTCTTGTTGCATTTTGCTAATGTGGGATAGGAGATGGGTTTCGAAGATGGGGGGGGGGGGTGGGGGGGTGGGGATTTTCCATTTCGTGTGCCTTTTCCATGGAGGAGGATGGGTTCGGTTGGGCTTTTTCTGGTGTCTATGGCCCAGTTGAGGATGGAGAGAGGCAAATATTATGGGAGAAGTTGGGGCAGTGAAGGATCAATGGGGTCTTCTGTGGGGTGTGGGGTGTGTGGAGGGGGGGTGGATTTTAAAGTTGTTAGATCCCCTTTGGAGAGATTGACCAGAGGAAGGTGGACGTTAGCAATGGAGCAATTCTCAGAGTTCATTGATGGTTATCATTTGCACGATTTACCGCTGGAGGGGGTTGTTTTTAATGGGGGAGTGGTAAAAAGACTCCTACATTGTCACGATTGGTTCGTTTTCTTATATATGGAGATTGGGAAGAGAAGTTTCCTGATGTGGTCCAGACAGCTTTGGCTAGACCAACTTCGGATCATATTCCTGTGATTATAGATTCTGGAGGATTGAGAACGAGGAGTACTCCTTTTCGATTTGACAACATGTGGTTCAGGGCTGAGGATTTCTAGGGGTGTGTGAGGACTTGGTGGGAGGGGATTAAGGTGGATGGTAACCTGAGCTTTATTCTTGCGAAGAAGCTTAAGGGGCTGAAAAATGAGATCAAAAGCTGGAATAGGGAGGTGTTTGGGAACCTTGAGTGAAGGAGAATAGGGCCTTCGTGGAGATTGCCGAGATTGACAGGTGGGAAGGAATGGGTGGTATTGATGAGAGTTAGAAAAGTAGGAGGGATGCATGCCAGACAGAGCTTGCGGAGATTGCAGTGTTGGAAGAAATTTCTTGGAGGTAGAAATCTAGAGCTTTATGGCTTAAAGAGGGTGACAAGAATACTAAATTTTTCCATCGGCTGGCTAACACTCATAGGAGAGGCAATCACATTGGAGGATTACTATTGATGGGGAGGTTCTGGTCAAGGAGGAGGATGTTTGCAGAGGGATTGTCTCTTTTTATCAAGGTTGGTTTACGGAGCCTTATGCTTAGAGACCCCGGCTGGATGGGCTTCACTTTGATTCCATTTCGGAGATTAGTAGAGATGGGATGGAGATTCCGTTCTCTGAAGAGGAAGGGCTGAAGGCGCTTAAGAGTTGTAACGGGGATAAAGCTCCGGGACCGGATGGCTTTACTATGAGTTTTCTTTTGGAGAGTTGGGGTGTGGTTAGGGGAGAGGTGATGGATATGTTTCATGCTTTCCATTCTCAGGGGGGCAAATGGAGGCATTGGATTGAAGCCTGTATTTCTTCAGCTAGATTTTCGGTGATGGTTAATGGGTATCCAACTGGTTATTTTGGTAGCTCGAGAGGTCTGTGCCAGGGGGATCCATTGTCTTCTTTTCTATTCATTATTGTTTTAGAGGCCTTGAGTAGGTTGATGGGGAGGGCGGTGGAGTTGGGTTTCATAAAGTGGTTCATGGTGGGTAGGGATGCTGTTCATCACCTGGAGATATCTCACTTATTGTTTACGGATGATACTTTGGTGTTCTGTGAGACGGAGGTTTCCTAGATGAGGTAGTTGAGGTCGGTGTTGGTTTGTTTTCAGGTGGTCTCAGGCTTGAAAGTGAATGTAGGGAAGAGTGCT